TTTGTGTTATAATTTGTAGTTATTTTACAACAAAACAGACATAATTTATATTTATTTCCTATTTTTTTATGGTGGTTACGAGATTGGTCAAATCAACCAAACCCATACAGATATTTGTTAATGAAAATAACAGATAAAATAAAAAGTTTTTCATAAAAAACGTTTGATAACTATCTGGACATTATAAGGATTTTGCATGTGAAATTTTAAAATTTTCTGATGCATAAAAGTATTTTTAATCTTAAAATTACTTTTCATGTTAGACAGGCAACGTGCAAAAAGAAAAAAATAGGAATGAGAAAAACATTGCTTTAGAAAGAATAAAAATTAAATACCTTATTTTTCAAAAACTATACACTTATAGGACCTTTCATCTCAAATTTAAAAGAATTTCATCAGCTAGTTTTATTTTTGTAAATAACTTTCACGAGAGTTGCATTCTTACTTACAATGTAAGTAGATCATAATCAAAGCATTAACAAATAATTCAAATCCTTTTTGTAATGGTGTAGAATCCTCTTCACAGCCACTAACACCCAAGTAATTTATTAACCATTCCTTCATCTATGTCAGTGTTGTAAATCAAAGAGAGCAATGGGTACTAACACTAGACTCTGATGTACCTCAATTGTGACATTAATCCAGTTTAGTCAGTTATCTATCCAGTTAGCCAATTTATCCTAAATCCACACCATTTCCCAGGGATCACCTACATAAGCAGTAACCTCTTCAAAGAATGTCAAAAGATTAGTAAAACTCAATTTTCATCTAGTGAGAGCATGTTCACTAACCATAAAATATTTAAACAATGCATAGCATCTTTCATAAGACCATCAAAAACCTTCCTCACCACTGATGTAAGAGTAGTAGATCTTATTGGGACAATTTTTATCACCTTCCTTGAAAACAGGAGTAACATTAGCCAATTTCTAATGTTTTGATACCCTACTCACTATTCAAAGACTTAGAAAAAGTATGTGGTCACGTATCAAAACTCTTGGTGAAATATTTAGTCCAGGAGCCTTACTATTCTTTACATTTCCTTCTTTTCATCTAGCAACTGCTCAGGATGAATATTCATCAGTAAATAATAAAATAAAGAATTTAATAAATGAGCATTCCTGTATCATCCTTTATTGGCCCTACTACCATCATAACATTTTGCTTTTGCTTACATTTAATGTATTTAAAGAAATCCTTTCCATTAATTTTTACATTCATAACCAGTCTTTCTTATTTTTTCATACACTCATTTTGATTTCTTTTTGAACTTTGAAAAAATATTGTTAAAAGTTATAATTTGTTTTAGTACTATTTTTTATATTATGGGTATTTTGATTCCTCATAGATTAAAGTAAAAAATATTTTTATAATAGTTGAGAAAAACAAATTAGCAAACATGTAGTTATAAGTAAAACCTTTTTTATTGGCAAAAGTTACACAATTTTATAGTGAATCAGCTATTGTCATATGAATATAAAACCCCAGTTGTCTTTAAGTCGTGAATAATTGCAAGTTCTAATTTTGTGTTAACACTTACTAAAATACTGATAAGTTATTTTGGAATTTAAATTAATGTATTTAAGAATAAAATGGTCTGTTATCTATTGCATTTCTAAAACTTTTATCTTGAAATATATTTTAAACAAAATTTTCAGGCTGATTTATCTCTTCCACGAGGAGTTGGTGAAAAACTTCTACTCAGGTTAGTGGCTTTTCAGCTAGGGCTGAAAAAAGCAGCCAGCTTACCAAAAAGAGCCATGCAGTTTGGATCACGGATAGCTAAGACTGAAGATTCTAAAGAAAAAGGCTCAGATGCATGTGGTCGCTTGAAACAGACTAAAATGATATAGATACAGTAAATTGGCTTTAGAGATGTTTAAATCTTTTAACTGTAAATATGTAATATTTACGTTTGATTATACAATTCTCTTTGAGTTATGGGTAATATCTTAGTGTTTATAAGATTTATTGTAATCATGATAAATAAATTGTTGGTTTCTTTAGTAAGAACTGTTTTCTGTTGAACTCCTATGCTTCATAGGTAAGAAACTGAGAAATAAATAAGATTGTTTTTGATAATTGTAATACTTCTCTTTGAGAATATAAAAAAACAAATAATGATCTTTGTAAGTGATGTAACAGTTTGTACATTTATAGAAACAACAACACTAAAAAAAATATATCTGCCCATTCCATCAGTACCAATGTTGTTAGAAACGTATGGGCCCCTAGTGGCACAGCAGTATGTTTGCGGACTTACAATACTAGAAACCGGGTTTTGATACCAGAGATTGGCAGCGCACAGATAATCATTGTGTATCTTTGTGTTTAACAACAAACAAAAAATGTAAGAATATAAGGGGCATATATTAAAGTAGGCAATCACCCACAATATATATATCAAAAGTTAACTCTAAGTGTAAGAAAAATAAATATTTTGGCACATTTGACTCTTGCTTATTCTATTATTGTTTCAATTATAAATTTTGCTTACTTATTAATAATGAATTGTATATAATCTCAAGCACTGTCATTATCACTTTCATTCAACTGAAGTACAAAAAACTGCATATATAAATCTAATAACCTTTTTTCTTCACTTATTCTAAGTTTTTTTTTATTTATTGACTAAAATTTGACTAGTTATCAAGTTTATTTTCCACACTAACACATCTACAAACAAGTTTTGAGACATTAATTATTTATGAAAATATAATAAAAAAAAAAGGTTCCTACCTTGTGATTTTTGCCTCTTGTCTTAAGACGTTAAGCCTTGGCCGGTCGACTGTGGGTCCATGAAAGTAAACCGCAAGAACTGCCACCTGTCATAGGATTGTTGCTTACAATAAAATTAAATTTTTGAGCATTAGCCGATAAGCAATCATAAGATATATCGTATCATTACTTCACGAATAGAATGACACTTTTAGAATAAATAATTTTTATTTAAGTTAATTTGGAACTTTTTCAAAAACTTTAATATAATTTTATTACATAAAATACTAAATTTTGGGCCTGGGCCAAATGGCCCTGCTGAACCATCTATCTAGGCCTAATCAGTGGTACTTATTAATAAGTAACATGTTAATTTTGTAATGCAACAAGCTCATAACAATAAGAACTAGCACTGCAATGAATTTTATGAACAAATTTTTATATATTTTAACGAAAATGTTCAATAATTGTACAGTTTAAATTTGTGTTAATCATCTCTGGTAGCCATAAGAAATCATACTAAACAATCTTTGTTTCTTTTTTTTTATTTGTGTGAAAGAATAAGTTCTCTCTTATTACAAAATACTTTGTAACAGAAAAGGAAATAATTAAAAGTGTTTCCTTGCTGATGAGAATTCATCATAACATTTCCAGCATGTACATTCTGCAGATACTTTACTCTTATCTATCTGAACATAAAACATGGAACACAAAACAATGATTGTTTTCTTTTGCTCCAGCACAACCAATCTTTTTTGCATGTTTCTCCATTCGATATATTTTTTTATGAGACGATAAATTAATTATGTTCTTAAACAGATAAAATGAAATGCTCATATCCTAGTGGAGCAAGCAAGAGATGATGAAAAGAAACAATACAATGTTTGCCAGAAATTACATCATTCTTCTGCCAAGAAAATATTTTGGAACTACACAACAACGTAAATGTCGATCTTCATGAAGAAATGTCAAATAGTTATGATGTTGATACTCTAAATTAAAATAAAGAATTTGTGAGCCAGGAAGAATGGAGGGTTCTTCGTTAGCATTATAGACCATCGGTGACGTAGATGGTCTAGAAAGGAGTCACAATCAAATCAACCAGATGCACATGCAGATCATGTGATTGATACAATTTTAACTGCTAATCCTATTGATGACATCACATTTCTAAAAAAAATAATGCAATGGAAATGGAAGGTTTTCTTAAAATAAACATTCCAAGATTCCAGAAAATATCCCACGTGATGCTGAAAATCAGAGTTTTCCATATCGTCTCATAAAAAAAATATATCGATTGGAGAAACATGCAAAAAGAGATTGGTTGTGCTGGAGCAAAAGAAAACAATCATTGTTTTGTGTTCCATGTTTTCTAAGCAGTGCAGAATCAGATAGATCAGTTCTTGGAAGTCCATCAGGTTAGGATATTGAAAGAGGTTGGAGGAAATTGAAAGACCACATACCGATTCATGAAAATTCGATTATACATAAAGATAATTATGTTAATTGGAAGTTGGCAAGTAAATCTGTGTCATCGAAGTCTTAAATGGGATCTATACTTTTGAAAGGACTAACAGCTGAAGTTATTAATTGGGAAGAACTTCTCGAGCAAATTCTGGAAGAAATATTTTTCTTAATTGAGCAAGGTTTAGCATTTTTGGTTCCAACAAGCATTTTGGAGATCCTCAGAATGGAAATTTTCTTGGAATCATAGAATTACTTAGTAAGTACAATCCAAGTTTATACGATCATGTAAAAAGAGTTTGAGAACCATAGGAAAATCACAAATGTCTCCAAGTTCATTACCTTTCCTCATTTATCCAAAATGAATTTATCGAACTTTGTGGATCATTTGTTCAAAAAAGAATTCTTGAAGACATTCGAAATTCCAATAATTTTTACATCATCGTGGATGCAACTCCAGATTGTTCACACGAAGAACAAATGTGTCTTGTCATTCGGTACGTGAAAATAATTGATAATACAAATTGTTCGATTGAAGAACGATTCATCATGTTTGATTCTTTCACACAAAGGAAAGGAAATTTTAGAACATTTTAAACTTGATTTCAATTTATGTATTGGACAAGCATATGATAATGGTGCTAATATGGCAGGACAGTATAATGATGTACAAGCAGTTTTGCTTGAACGTAATTATATTTTTTCAGGCTGTGGAAACCACACTTTGAATCTTGTAGGAGTTGACAGTGTTGAAACATGCAAGGAGGCAATAATATGCTTTGGAAGAATTCAACAAATGTATAATTTCTTTAGCAGCAGTCCACAGAGATGGGAGACTTTAAAGATACATGTAACTGTTTCACTTCAATGCCATATTGAAAACAAGATGGTCTACACAAATCAATGCAGTTAAACCAGTTGCAAAACATTTATCCACTATTCGGCCTGCTGTGGATGAGTCGGAATTTCTAAACCTTCAATCACATGCACGTACCGAATTACAGTCTATTAATCAATATTTGGATATAATCGAATACATTCTTTTATCAACAATATGGAATGAAATTTTAACCTTATTGCAACAAACAAATTTATTAATTGAAGCTCACAATGTGACTCTGGATGTCGAGATGACAAACATAGAGAACCTTATTTCAAGCATTCTAAAAGTCCGTGGGGAATGGGACAAAATACTTTCAAAGTCAAAGGAAAGGGCAGGAAATTCCATAATTTCAACAGAGTTTCAAACAATCTGCAGCATTAAAACACAATCCAACGCTGAAAAACATTCTAATGTTTTTTTGTATTATTGAATCAGTAATATTGGATTGGCACAGCTATTTGAATCCTATGGACTTTTGAGAATTTAACTGATGAACAAATAAAAGTTTCAGCACAAAAATTACAACAGAAATATGCTAAGGAAATTTCACTCGAAATATGCAATTACCTTGTTTGTATGAAGAAAATTTACAATACAAACTTTAATTCAGAACTAACTCCAGCAAATTCACTACAGAACATATTGGAAACTAATTTAATTGAGTTGTTTCCAAATTTGTCCTTAGCACTTAGAATTTTGAGTCTACCCGCTTCTGCGGAAAGAAGTTTTAGCGTTATGAAGAGAGTGAAGAATTTTAACAGATCTACAATGTTCGAAGAAAGGCTAAATGGGCTATCAATTCTTAACATAAATTCTGACATTGTGCAGTCAATATATTTTTCAACGAAAATAAAGGAATTTGCCAAAAATAAATCTTGAAAAGCATTTTTAAACTAATTTTAATTTTCAATTTGGGTAATGCTATACACCTCGTCAAATTATTGTTACGTATCTGCTCGTTTGTTAATTTCTGGTATAAATTCTTTCCGAGGAACTTCAGTGATACAAGTCCCTTCTTGATTAAAACTAGTTTATTCTTTCTCGATACAACTTTGTTATACACAGTAATTTCACAATCAATATGTTTCTCGTCTCTTTACTTAACAACTTTTATAATACACGCTTTAAATCACAGCGATTCACAAGCTCGATAACTTCGCTGCATGCAACGACTGCAAATCACACACAATTACTGTTTGCTTGACTCAATTATCTATATCCCGATGGCTTTCTTTGCCAGACTTATATACTAAAAAAAGGGGGCATCTAGATCACATTCGAGCTGCTGGGCAAATTCATGATCATTCGAGAAACTCCAGCACGCATGCTCCCAGCATTGCGTGACTTCCGATGTCGCAACACTGCCCCTTCATTGGTATTGTTCATCCCGAACAATAGCCACTTACATTTAACCAATAGATAATTAACAATAACTTAATTAAATGTACAGAATTTACAAACACAAAATTAAAATACAACAAAGTCTCTTAATTTTATAGGATGTCTCTTCTTTCGTACTGGTCTCTGTCTCGTTGGCTTCTACTTCATGTGGGATTCATCTGTTTCACCAGGAAATGTGACATTAGTGGTAGTAGCTTCATTAACAGTTTCACTGTTTTCCTACTCAAAACAGGGTAGAGTTTCTTCTTCAACAGTGGCTTTTCCAGTTGATACATCTTCTACAGCATCATTTGTTCCGTTGTTCACTTCGTTCCAACTGAAAGTCATGGGCAGAGATAACACCAAAGCCTGTTGGCATGCACCACCTTTGGCTTACCTCGCCGACCACATTTTATTCGGAAAGACACGTCTGAG